GTAATCGGTCCTCTCGCCTCTCCTGTTCAACATCTATATGAAGCCACTGGGTGAGATCATCCGTGGTTTCGGGGTGGAGTTTCATCAGTACGCAGATGACACCCAGTTGTACATCTCCACCCCGGACCACCCCAACGATGCCGCGGAAGTGATGTCCTGGTGCCTGGAGGCCATGCGAGTCTGGATGGGGAGGAACAGGCTTCGACTCAACCCGTCCAAGACCGAGTGGCTGTGGTTTCCGGCGTCACGACATAGCCAGTTGGCTCCATCCCTGGCTATTGGGGGCGAGTCATTAGCCCCCGTGGAGAGGGCCCNGCCTCCTACCAAACACCTCCCTTCGACCAGTCCGCTCCCACAGAGAGGGCCTCCTTAGGGTGCCGTCGGCCAGACAATGCCGGCTGGCGACCCCCAGGGGGAGAGCCTTCTCTGTGGCAGCTCCTGCCCTCTGGAATGACCTACCCCCCGACCTACGTACAGTTGCGGACCTGCGCCTTTTTCGCCAAGCCCTGAAGGCCCATCTATTCCGTGCGGCCGGCCTGGCGTAGTTTGATTATGTTTTAGTGGGGGTTTTTGTATGGGTGTGTTTTTAGAACAGGCCCGTTATTTAATTTGATTTTAGAACTGCCTATATTTATCATGGTTTTTATTATCGCCTGTTCACCGCCCTGAGTCCCGTAAGGGAGATAGGGCGGTATATAAAGTCAACAAATAAATAAATAATGATGAATAAGTATTTTTGAATTACTAATTGTAGATTGTACATGTTACTAAATTTAAATATTGGCTATGCTATGTTTAATTTATGTTTAATTTAGAATAAGAGATTGTCTAGTTATATATTTGTATCGATACTGAGGAAAATTGGATGTCTTTTTAATATTGCTTATCCCTCCAACCTTCTTCCCCTCACTTTTTAACTTTTCCCCTTTTGAATCCCTTCTCCCATTTTTTGTTATCTTGTATTTTATTTTCTCTTGAAATTTAATAAAGTTGTTTTGGGAAAAAAACTACTGGGGTGCTCTGTGCCTCTCACACATACACACATGCAAACATAACTTTTCCTTTGGATGATTTTAAATAATCTCCACATAATATTACCATCACCACCCCTGAGGTAAACATACTCTAAGTTTCAAATACAGTAATGTTCTCTGTCCAAATATCTTGTTGATGTTTAGTTTAGAAAACGTGGGAAATGATAGAGATGTATAAAACTGCACACACTTTATAAAAAGCAAAAATAGAGATTTTTTTTTCTCCCTCATTGCAGAAGAAACCAGGATCAGGCAACTGATTGAGAGGAGATTTAAAATCAAAGGTCTATTTTTCCCTGCCTCTTTTTAGGGTCTTAATCTGGCTTTGAACTTTTGATATCTTTGTTGCTGATTGCTAGTTTCATTTAACCAAAATGTTCTTGGCAAACAAACAAGAAAGGAATATGCATTTCTCAAACCAAGGGTCCCCAACTCCCAGTCCGTGGACCTGTACTGCAGCATGCCAGCAACCGGTCCGCACAAACAAGCAAAAGCAACCGGTCCGCACAAACAAGCAAAGTCCCATTTGCAAGATGCAGGCAGCACACAAAACCACACACCCTCCGGTCCACGGAAAAACCTCTCACCACGGAATCGGTCCCTGATGCACAAAAGGCTGGGGGACCTCTGTCTTAAACTATGCATAACAATATTATTAATCCTTGGATAATCAAGAGCATCTTCACATCATTACAATTTCTACTCCTTGATTCTTCAAAAGCAGTTTAAAGTTAACTAATGGTCTTCACTGCTACCAATTTCAAAACATAAGACTAGCATGAGCCACTCAGGTCTTCCATCCTGTAGGAGGGCACGAAGAACAGTGCACAGTCGGTGGCCCTGAATCCATATTTTTAGTTCTGGGTGCTTGCCCAGGGCTTTGCCCACCCCAGCCGAACAGTCATTGCTGTGAGCAGGTGCAAAACTTCCAAGGCACCAGCTGTCGATTGGTTTAAGAACATTTGCTCCACAGCAGCTGAATTTCTGCAAAGGGGGTGGGGGTGGGAGAAGCTGGCTTAATCATAGAAGAGAGAGGAAAACCATTTCGCCGGTAATAGGCAATAGCTCACTTGTTTATGGAAACTGCAAAAGGACATAGCTTTCAATGGTTTTCATGTGCACAGTTAAAAGAAAGGTTTAATATGGATAAAAAAACTATCTGAATTGAAAAGCAAAAAAAAAGAAAAATTGAAACTGAATTATGTACAAATGGTGAATATGCAATCACAAAAATGTATAAACGTTTGATAAAATTTGAAACAGAAGAACAGATTAATGACTATATGACAAAATGGGCTATTAACTTTGGCTATAACTGAGATGGACACTTGGGAGAGACTGTGGATAATTTATTACACTGCATAATTTAAGACAATTTTTTTTTTATAAAAAGAAGTATTGTTGGTATATGACACTAAATAAATTTTAAAAAATGTACGAAGGCATTTCAAATCAGTGCTGGAAATGTAAAAAAGTATGAGGGAACATTTTATCATGGTGAACTTGTGAAAAAGCTAAGAAATTTTGGATACAAATTCACACCTGGTACAAAGAATTTAAAGACTAACATTGCAAAGAAACTAGAATTCCGTTTATTGGGACTTGAGAACAATGAGTGAGAAAAGATTCATGATAGACTGATTTTGTATATGGTACAAAATCTTTCTTTTTCATTTTTTGTACTTTTTTCTTTCTGTTCGTTTCCTCTTTTTCTTTTGATTAGTCTTTTATTCTATGTAAAAAATTGATATAAACAAATAATCAAATCAATCAGCCCACCTGCACATTTGGTAGGTTGCAAGTGGGAAAATTTGTTGTGTCGTTTAAAATACACTGTAGTCAGAAATAAATCAGCTCAGCTGTTGAACACAAACAATTGTGTGCGTTTTATATGGAATGCAGAATGGTTCCCATTTGGAAATTCTCTTAGTTCACAGACTATGCTAAGTACTCGCAGATTAACTTTACCAGACACCAGTTTTGTTCTAAATAAATAAAAGCCACTAGGGTAACATCTTTAACATTACTTTTATTAGCAGCTTGCCATGTACCTTTAAAGTTACAAAGCCTATTTCTTCACCAGAAGCTAATTTGAAGATCTCTTCCACAATTCTGCCTTTGTCTATCAGCTCTCAACATTAGAAAGATCAGTGGCTTCTCTAGGGACAGATCTAAGGCACAGGTCAAAAAACCACAATGATAAAAACTACTATTTTAACCAAGATTCCCCAAATATACCCAGTTCCTCTTAAATATCATTAAAGCAGCACTTTCCTTATAAGCTCTAGGTCACTTTGCCATAATACTGAGTTACTATTTAGGTCTAGATGGGAGGCACAGTCCAGTAATATGGCTTTAAAGTATGTGACATATGAAAAGAATTAGTTTATTTCTTTCAAATGCACATTTATTTCTCTACTTATGATAGGGAATGTGAGCAGACTGTAAACATTTTTTCCTTGCCTGAAAAAAAAACAACTATTTGAAGCACCTCAACTTCAAGGTGGGAATTGGAGACTACTACTGTAGTTGATAAATTTCTCACATTTTTCATATTTTAAAGTGCTAATTTTACATTATTTACCTAAAACTATTTTTAATAGAACAAACCCATGTTTATAGTGTGGCAAATCCAAAGGTCTCCAAAAAGGTTACAGCTCCTCACCCTACAAATAATCTGTGTAAGAGCCTTGCAAGAATCCACTGAAAATGTTTGTGAATAACGATCTTCTGTAAGGGTCCAGAATTTACTCCATATGCAAAAATAAAAATGCAACGTAAAATATTACTACTGCACAATTTTAGAGCAATGTGCACTGATACTGCAATGGCAATTTTCCTTAAATATATCAGGCATTTCCATTCGATTAATATCGACGAACAAAATCTTTGGGAAGGGGGGGGGGTATTGACCTTTATTCCTGAGGTTTTATGAAACGCAAAAGCTGCTCCTAACTAGACACTTCCAACCATAATAGGTGTGATTGGTCTCTCTTGGATAAAGAAAGACCTGCCAACTAACAACAGAAGCAACACACAATATTAATTCTCTCCTTAAAAATAACATTTCAGAACTCTCTTCCTAAACCCAACTTAAAGACATAACTTCCATCATTCTCAGCCAGCAAAGACCCTGGTCATACTGGTGAGAGATGAAGGAAACTGTACACCAATACCTATCAGGGCAGCTGACAGGGGGGTCCCTGAAATACACATAGCAAATACTGACAGGATGCAGAAGGAAGACAGAATTCCTTAATTGCGCATTTAGAACTTCATAGGAGAGCAGGGTTACTGGAGCAGCAACTGGGAACAAAAATAATGTAGGAAAGCTTAAGGATCAATCAAAAAAGTTTGTTACCCACATTCCTCCCTAAACAGCTCTTAAAAAAACAAAGCGCTGCCTGTGTTTAATTAGTACTGGTTGCTATGCCCTTAATTTGCTGCATTTAATTTATTATATTACCAACTCAGGGAAAATACTGCCAATACGCTGCCCAGTCAACTCAGCACATTTTGTTACAGTTTATGAGCTTGAATTTTTTTTTTAAAAAAAAATTATTCTGGTGCATGGGAACACTTTTGGAATAAAAGAAACATGTCAACACCATAAAAGAACAGAAATCTAAAGAGCTTTGGCCAAAATAATCCTTCTGGGTTTCCTCCCAATTATAAATTAGCTGGTCTTCCCCAGAGTACTCGCTAACACCTTACTCTCACAGCAAAGAAAACCCTGACTGAAGCAAATGCATTATCTTCTATTTAAGGCAGCTGCCAGTGAAATCTGTATTAAAAGACTGGAGACTCTCCAGTCACAATCATATGCCTACCCCTGGGCTAGCCAAATAATAAAATTCAGTTCACTCATACTCGCTAGAAGGAGGAAAGTGGGCTGCACTCAAAACCTGAAAGCGAAATGACTTATATATTTTTTTTCAGACAGAGAAAATCTGTTGTGCAGATAAAATCCTTAACCCCGGCACCTCTCTCTCCCTCAGCTGCCCTCTCCCTCCGCTTCCCCATTGCATGGTTACAAAGCGTAGTAGTTACAGCGAAACTTGGAGGGACAGTCTTCTGTCACAACCAGCAAAGCGAAGCCGGGCCTTTTGTGAGTCACGTTTCCAAAGGGGTCAGCTCTTGCCAGTCTGTTTCATTTTCACACTTGTCCCGTCTTTTGAAAAACGACTTGATCAGCCTCTGCGCTTCTTCTTTCACTGCGAACAGGAAAAGTGGCACCTGAGATAATGACGTTCTCAATCATAATTTACTTATCACTCCTCTCATACGCACATACATTAAGTACCAAATGCAAATTGTGCCTATTGGCTCAAATGGTGTCTGCAAAATATGATGAACAGGAGAAGAATATCTGTTAGTTAGTTAGTTAGAATATATATATTTGTTGTTGTTAGTTGCGAAGTCGTGTCCGACCCATCGTGACCCCATGGGCAACGTTCCTTCAGGCCTTCCTGTCCTCTACCATCTTCTGGAGTCCATTTAAGCTCACTCCTACTGCTTCAGTGACTCCATCCAGCCACCTCATTCTCTGTCGTCCCCTTCTTCTATTGCCCTCAATCTTTCCCAGCATTAGGCCCTTCTCCAGGGAGTCCTTCCTTCTTCATTAGGTGGCCAAAGTACTTGAGTTTCAACTTCAGGATCTGGCCTTCTAAAGAGCAGTCAGGGTTGATCTCTTCTAGGACTGACTGGTTTGAACGCCTTGCAGTCCAAGGGACTCGCAGGAGTCTTCTCCAGCACCATAGTTCAAAGGCCTCAATTCTTTTGTGCTCAGCCTTTCTTATGGTCCAACTTTCACAGCCATACATTGCAACTGGGAAAACCATGGCCTTGACTATATGTACTTTTGTTGGCAGGGTGATATCTCTGCTTTTTAGTATGCTGTCTAGATTTGCCATAGCTTTCCTCCCCAGGAACAAGCTATATTTTATTGACAACACAAACATTTTCAAACATTACCATGATATCATAAATACTAACCAAGCTTAACTATCCCCACATACCCAAAGAGCTGAAAATTAGAGATCTCTGTAAGTCAACAATTTTAATAATAAAAATAAGAGGGACAAAACACAAGACATTCCTTCACCCTGTCCCTTATTTGGCCGCTCACCTGTTTTGCGGAAACTGCTTTTGTCTGCAGCCAACAAATGAGAGAGGTGTCGGGCAAATCCCTTGAACAAATCCTGCCAGGCAGAGATAAGAGAGCAGAATAAGCAGAGTGGAATGCGATTCCCTCATTAACATCTAACTGTTGTGCTTCTATGCAAGACAAAGTAATTGATGCCCAGCTGGGCAGCCTCATAATCTGCTGCTCTGTTTATCATACAATAGGGAACATGCTATCTGTGATTTAAATACAAGGTGCATGTGCAAACAATTAGACATTGCAAGGCAGTCAAGGCTGTGAAACCCCCAATCAAATCTAAGTTCTTCTAAATCAGGGATGGGCAATTAATTTTCCAAAGGGACCATAGGAGAAACTGGGACTGCAGTGAAGAGCCAAACTGATGTAACCTGATTTGATGTCTTCAAACTCCATCACCTCAACTCCTCCAATTGCTCCATTTAAGGAGCAGGAGCAGAACAGTGCTATCTCTCCTCGCCCACCCCTTCTCCCGCTGCGGTGGCCAGTTGACTGAAGGGAAGCAGGGCAACTGCACAGAGCTGGACCTGAGATGGCTTTGCCTCCTGCCCCCTGCGGCAGGCTTATTTACATTTGATTTCTAAGTTCCAACTGACCTCACACGGGTTGGACAGGGACAGCCAAAGGCCGAATGTGGCCCAGGGGGCCATAAAATGCCCAGGCCTGCGTTAGATGATTATAATTACCAATATAAGGGTATAATAGTATTAGACCCAGGGATCTACAAGGGATTTGGATTTTTAATTTTGAGAATCTGTTTTATACAATGGCTCCCCTTAATGAAGAAGCTGCTCCCTGCCAACCACTCAAAACTTGCACAGTTTTTTCTACTACTTAATTTATCTTTGCCTTTCCCCCCCACCCCCGAGGAGTTAGATAAGCATATCTACAAATCACAGGGTTAAGACACCTGCCATTTTTATTTTCTAGGAATTATACTAGAACAGTGGTGGCGAACCTATGGCACGGTGCCAGAGGCAGCACGCAGAGCCCTCTGTGGGCACACGCGCCATCGCCCCCGTCCTAGGCCTTCAGCTGGGTTTTATAAAACCTTTTCGCTTTAGGCCTCCGCCGCCGTGTGCAAAAAAAAAAAAAAGGATTCAATCAGTCAATTTCAACTTCTCGCGGGAAAAAAAAGATCTTGCAAAGTTGGAATTGATTGATTGAATTTTTTAGTCCTACCCAGTCTGCCGTTACCATCGCAGCCACGCCCACCCAATTGGCCACACCCAGCCAATGGGCCACACCCACCCAGCACTCAACGATGCATAAGTAGGTTTTGGGTTGCAGTTTGGGCGCTCGGTCTCTAAAAGGTTCGCCATCACTGTACTAGACCCCAGAAGCACTCTTGGAAATAAAACAGATGCTTGATGTTTGTATTTTGCTTTGTTCCATGCTAGATTGAGTGTAAGGGAGATATCACTGAATATATCAGCATTTTGCACATTTTAAATGAATAAGCAAGCAATAAATAGGTTGTTCCCTATCCAATAGATTGTGCTGAAGTAATCTGGGCCAACTCCAACTCATAGAGGCCTTTACTGGGCATCCTGCAGCTCTTTATCCTTGTGGTAGAGTAGCAAGTTTAGAATTCAACATTTTTGCCCTGGTTAAGAAAGCAAAGCAGCTCTAGTGAAGTTACCATTCTCATTAAATGCACAGTCACCCCCAAACAGGATCAGAAGAATAGCTGAACTGAATGTAACGGAGGCTCATGGCAGACATCAATGTCTCGAAGAGGAATAACTGCCAACTTACACCTATGTTCCTCAATGAATGAAAACTACAACCGAGAAGGCGCTTCCAGACGGTGGGCTTCTAAGTGATGATGCGCAAAACATCCTCTCCTGAAATGCTCTGGCCTTGGAAGTGGGCACTTCAGCCCTGGGATGGGAGAGTTCTGACTCGCAACAAGCCCTTCAAGAGGGTTCCAATTTGGTGAAGTATTTGGAGAAGCCCACTTTGAGGTCAGATCAGTTCTGGATCACGTAAAATGTTTTGTTCTAGGGCAGCGGTTCTCAACCTATGGGTCGCAACCCCATTTGGGGTCGATCAACCATTTCACGGGGGTCGCCAAGCAAGGCTGTCCGCCATTTTTCCCCCTTTTCCGGCGGGTGCCTTACCTCCCTTGAGCTGGGCCAGCTGGTGGTTGGCCTGCTCCGTCTCTGCCGCTTGCCAGCTACGCCTTGGCCGGCGCAGGGGGCGGAACCACACATGCGCGGCGCTCCCGGGCAGGGAAAGTCCTCGACTTACGACCGGTTGGGTAGTCCTCGACTTACGACTGGTTTAGTCCTCGACTTACGACCGGTTTAGTCCTCGACTTACGACCGGTTTAGTCCTCGACTTACGACCGGTTGGGGGTCGCGGCATTAAAAAGGTTGAGAACCACTGTTCTAGGGTGCAACATTTTGCGATGTCACAGTTTGCACACCCCGACCTACGGTACTACTACTTACCTGCCCCAAAATACTGCTGCTATTTTACATTATTCTCCCTGAATAGGTTTTTGTTAGAAATTGATGGAAGAAATGGGGAAAGACAGAAAAATTACAAGTGGAGGATCGTGTTGTCTGCTCATAAATAAAGCAAGTTAAATACATGCAATTGTTGTTTGAAAGTACTGTGCTTATTTCACTGGAATACAGTGGCAGGGAAAAAAAAAATAGCTCTGTCCAGCTATGTCTCATCCCCATCCTACAAAGGACTGATATCACTGTGGAAATTTTATTTCCCATGCGTTTCTTTAGATATTATCTGCAGCATTTAATTTCATACCTAACTTTTGTGTCACCATGGAGGCTTTAACTGATAGGGAAACATAAATCAAACACAGGAGGGGGGGGGAATTAAATAGTTCATAACTCACCTTAGATGCAAATCTCCCACTTTTGTAGAAAGGAGTCAAATATTTTACAACAATATCTGCTGTTTCCTTAAGCGACAATGTTTTTGAAGGCGGCTGGATGACTCTTGTGGTCCCTTCTTTATCAACCTGTGATAAATTTGGATCAAAAGTGACTTTCTTTTTTGCCAGCCCAACTGCTTTCCCGTCTGACTGTGACAAAATGGAGGACTTGTTCATCATCCGTAGCCTCTTTTCAGCAGGGCTCTCCAGGTCCTGGAATGGCAGAAATAGAAATCCTTTAAAGCAACTTTACACGGCTAAACCTAAACAGCCTTCCTGAACTACAAGAAACCCATATTTTTTGTCTATATGATTTACAATTTAAACCCTCGACATTGCATGCGTCAGAGATGATAATGTGATCTGATTTCTTAATGCAAGAAGCAGAAAGGAAAAAACACCTTATTCCCTTTTTTTGGTGTCTTTATTGAAGTTTCAAAGAAAAAATATGGAAAATAGCAAGAACTAATTGAATATTTAAAATAAAGAGGGGGTGGGGTGGAGATAAGAAAAAGACAAAACCAAAAGTGGAAAAAAAAGGTTATAAAAATGTTACCAGAGAGTAAGAGATTAATTTTCATTTGTAATAATAATAATAATAATAATAATAATAATAATAATAATAATAATAATAATAATAATAATAATAATAACAACAACAACAACAATAACAATAACAATAAAGTTGGAAGAGACATTGGAGGTCATCTAGTCCAACCCCCTGCTCAGGCAGGTAACCCTATACCATTTCGGACAAATGGCTGTCCAGTCTCTTCTTAAAAACTTCCAGTGTTGGAGCATTCACCGCTTCTGGAGGCAGGTTGTTCCACTGGCTAATTGTTCTCACTGTCAGGAAGTTTCTCCTTAGTTCTAGGTTGCTTCTCTCCTTGATTAGTTTCCATCCATTGCTTCTTTTCCTACCTTCAGGCATACCAAATTCCAGCAACCGTTCCTTATATGTTTTAGCCTCCAGTCCCCTAATCATCTTTGTTGTTCTTCTCCATACTCTTTCTAGAGTCTCAACATCTTTTTTACATCGTGGTGACCAAAACTGGATGCAGTATTCCAAGTGTGGCCTTACCAAGGCCTTGTAAAGTGGTATTAATACTTCACGTGATCTTGATTCTATCCCTCTGTTAATGCAGCCTAGCACTGTGTTAGCTTTTTTGGCAGCTGCAGCACACTGCTGGCTCATATTTAAATGATTGTCCACTAGGACTCCAAGATCCATCTCACAGTTACTACTATTGAGCAAGGTACCCCTTATACTATACCTGTACTTATCACTGTTGTAAAAGAAAATTGGACGTGACTTCTCCAACAACTTTATTCCAGCATGGAACAAGGTGTCTCTCCATAACAACTCGCAACTCTAGAACCTAATATAGTATCTTTTTGTGTGCCTACATATGTGGATGTGCAAAAGTCACAGAGGGCAAAGAGGGGGGATGATTTCATGGATTCACAAACTTGGCGGGGAGATAGCTGTGATGAACTCACATTCTGCTCCTTACCTCCTTAAAAACTAAGAAATCATTGCTCTTATACTGTAAGTTCAAAATGGAACTGCAAGAGAATTTCTACTGACACACATATCCCAATACAGACTATCGATCGTAGTTACCGCAGCATTACTTTCTCCAATCTTTCTAAAGCAATGTAGCTATCAATGCTGCTAACATTGGATGTTCTTGCTTTGACAACATATGGAGATGCAGCCATTTTCCTTTACTTTATGTTTTACTCTTAAAGTTAGAATTAGATGATTGGGGGGGGGG